GGAAAGAGAATTTGAAAATAATACAATAGTTGCTTATATGGGATTATAGAGTGACGATACAATTATGATAATTATGGCTTTTTCAGAATTTTTTTAATATTAGGTATTAAAATATTTCAAACAAATTATTGTTTAAGAAGTTTTTGCTGCTAGTTATTAAAGATCTGATATATGTTTCTTCAAGCAAATTTTTCTCAACTTATCAATAATATTGGCCTAACTTATCTTTCAAGAAAAACTTTTTCTTCTGTTGCACGGCTCCCGAAAGTCTATTTTTCCATGCAACAATATATACTAAACWCTATAGGGTTTTCTTTGTCCTAATTTATTTCAACTTCATTCTTATCTTCTATTTTGGTAATGTATTTGTTATCATTACTATTCAGACTGTTTAGGTATGTACTCCATGTAATTTAGTTTCATGTGTAAATAGATRTTTAGACCCCCTCGTGAGTTTTTGCTCTTGGGGTGAATATGTGATTATATGTTTAAATGAAAATAAATTTTCTCAGAAAAATTTCTGTTATTTGGTCTGCATATCTTTCATTACAGAATGTGGAAGGGTATTTACGGGATCCAGTAAATAAACAGATAAAACATAGCACAGGATCCATGAAACTAGAAAAMAAATGTTATGTACATGTGATTCAGGATATTGGCATYGGCCGTGACTCGACAAATTRCCACATTCAATGTTCGGGATACRAGATTTTGCTTTCTGATTTTCAGGGGAAACGTGAAAACAATAAGCAAAACAAAAAGTCAAACRCCTTTGAACATGTTGATTTGGGTTGTTGATAATCATTTTCGTGGGATGCGGGATTCCCATCTTTCGGACCCTGCCATTATTTCCTCTGTTCCAAAATCAGACCAGTTAACCCAAAGGGCGAATCCAGGGGGTGGATTGGGTGGCTAGACACCCCCCTGGAATTGAAAATGATAAAAATAAAGGATAAGGTAAACACTAAAAAGAATGCTATGTGATGCCTTTATAGGTAACACCCTTGCAATCGTTCTGGATTTGCCATCCCCCCTCCCCTCCCCCCCCCCAATCAAAGCTTTTAATCATTACAAATTACAAGTAAAGCTGCAAATAAGGTTGAATAAATCTTTATATATGTATATCTTAAAGGTCTAAAGGAAAATACTTCACCAGTATATGAACGTTCAACTTTGTAATCTTCGCGCCTCCTTAACTTTTACTCACGCGCGGGAATCCCGCAAATGTTTTTCGGCAACCTCGGGAAGCTGAGATCACGCGTGCGCAGTACGTCTTGTTTCTCGAAGCATGTGCATTTGCGTGAAACATGAAGGTCCAAATTTGTCGAAAAAATACTTTTGAGCCTTAAAAATTAGCTAAAAACTCCTAAAGGCTGTGATTAATCTATTTGTTAATTCCATCTCCTAAAAAATGAGTTTAGATTTACCATAAAGTGTCAACAAAACAAAGCGAAAAGTTCGCTCCACAAGGACACACACGTCGTCTTTGCTCTGCAAGTTTGATCGTTGTAGCGAAGTTTGAGTCTTTTTTTTGAGAAGAAAAACGACTTTTGAAGATGAAGAAGGCAGCAATGAATCGTAAGAAGAGGCTAGATGCGCCATCAAAGCAGGAAGTGAGAGAACGCTACGAAAGCGCCCGACGCCAAAACGCTAAAGAAGACGCAAACGTAGAACGACTTTCGTCGACTTCAGAGGTAAAAAAARGTCTCTTCTAGAATCAGCTGTTATTTATACAACAGTACTCGAGTATAGCAGTTGTTTTTAGAAGATAATAATCTAACTTTCATTGTTAAATATAAAGTAAAACTTGTTTTTGTAAACACAAACTCATGGAGATATCTTGCTAGATTTTTCGGTAAAATTTGAGTACAAGATGACTTACATTCAAGAGCTTTTGAGGTTTAAAAGAAGCGTTCAATTAATGGTGTTTTCATTTAAAACYAAGGTACGACTTTTATTCCTTTACTCCAGGCATTCAAAACAACGTCTGAAAAAGCTCTACTCATACCTCTGCTCATACAGGCTTTTCAGCAATTTTTTTGCAAATTCGTATATGGATTTGTCATTTTATGTTTTTCATATTAGGCTGTTTGCTTTATGCCATATATGCACTACACACTACTCTACCTTCCTCTTCCCCCCCACCCCCCTCAATAAACAAGCCAAACATAATCATTTATCAGTACCCTGAAAGCACAACCTCCGTGCTGACCTAAGTCGGGGTATGGCTAACTCACAGATTGAACCCTGAAACAACCACTGGGCTGATCTAAGTCAGGGCAAGGCTAACTCACAGATTGAATACTGAAACAACCTCTGGGCGGATCTAAGTCAGGGCAAGGCCAACTCACAGATCAAACCCTGAAACAAACTTTGTGCTGACCGAATTCAAGGCATGGCTATGTCATAGATTGAATACTGAAACAACTTCTGCGATAATCTAAGTCAGGCACAGCTAACCCACAGCTGAAATCCTGAAACAACCAAAGTCAGGGCATGGCTAATAAACAGATTGAATACTGAAACAACCTCTGGGCTGATCAAAGTCAGGGCATGTCTAACTCACAGATTGAACCCTGAACAGTGGCGGATCCAGGATTTTTCAAAGGGGGGTTCCGTTTCTTAAACTGTGTATAATTCTCTTTTGTTTAGTCGATGTCTGACAAAAAAATTGGCTCTAATCACCTAATTTACTATCTAGTAACGCAACTTAAAGGTAAATTAAACATTGTAACAGCAAATATTTATCATTTCGTGTTCAACATTATCCTTGTGGATACTTTTAAGCAAAATTTATATAAGACATATTTCTATTGCCTAAAAGATCAAACCTTCAAGGGGGGTTCCGTGGAACCCTTCGAACCCCCCTGGATCCGCCACTGCTTAAACAATTTCTGGGCTGATCAAATTCAGGCATGGATAACTCACAAAGCCCCCAAACAACCTCTGGGTTGATCTACAGGTGTGCCAGGGTACAGCTTACTCACAGATTGAATTGTAATAAAATTAGCATATTACGTTTCGTGGACGGAAGGAAAGAAACTCCCACAAATAACTTTCATATACAACAGTCTAATTTATCCCAGATTTACTCGCAAAACTGCTATTATATTACAATACAAGTTCTCAAGTAGTTTTTAAAACTTTTTTGAGACAACAACACTCAACATCTCTCAGCATACATGTTAATTTTTGGGTATTTTTATTTTCATTGTTTTGTCCAGTAAAATGAATGAAGCAAGTTGAACTATTTGTGGTATTATTGCATTACATTACACACACACTACAGGTTCAGCATTCCTATTAATACATCTCTCAGCTGACATGGCAATACATGGCTAACTCACAGATAGAATCCTCAAACATTACATTACATTTCACACGCACTCACACACACTATAGGTTAAAAATTCCTATTAATACATCTCTCAGCTGACATGGCAATACATGGCTAACTCACAGATCGAACCCTCAAACATTACATTACATTACACACACACTCACACACACTACAGGTTCAGCATTCCTATTAATACATCTCTCAGCTGACATGGCAATTTTTTATATTTGTCATAATAAATATTTCTACAATATCTGTTCCACTGTACCTAAATAAGGCATATTTTGTGGAGTTGCTTTCTAGTTATTACTATTGCTGGATTTTTACCAGGTTACACTGTCATCTACTCCATTGTCACATACGATAACAACAGAAAACAATAAGCTCTCAAGACAAAACAAAGTGTAAAATCGGTCGGAAATCTATCGGAAATTTGTGCCTGGAATATTAACCTGATAAAAACAATGTATATTAACAATAATATGACAGACATATCTGTCTATTGTATGACTCTGCTGACTTAGTTCATGATGGAAGTCTTTAAAAGTAATTTTTATAGCACAACACAGGGTACCCAACACTATAATTTTTTGAATTTAAAGCCAAACAAAAATCTGAAGTTTAGTTGGAAGTCCTTGATTAAGTGTTTTTCTATTGTATCTCTTAAACCAACCATAACTAATGCAAACTGGGTTGGGCTGGTTCCACTGACGATGAAAGTCATCCTGCTGAAACATGCTTATTCAGTATGTATATCTACTCAATACTAAARTGAGTTTTCAAATCTTTGCAAGAGGTATATGGAAAATGTTATAGGAAAAGCTAGTTCTACTTGAATCAAGGCTTTTTTGATTTGAACCTTTTTACAAGCAACAAATCAATTCATGTCTTATATATATATATACCCTTTGCAAAAAGTCACAGACAAATTTCCACTATGTTCCTGAACTCATATCAGCAAACATTATTTTGAAACAGTTTTATAGCATTAGTATTTAGTTTTAAAGTTTCTTTGCTTTACCATAAATACCTTAGGTGGTATAGGCACTTTAAGTGTAGTCTTAAGCAGTTGATTTTGAGTCTAGGCGCACAATGCATTGTTTGTCACAGCAAATATTACCAAGTATTTTCTTTTATCTCTTGTCTGCCAAAAAAAAAATTTCCACCACCAAAACCGACAAATACTATTCCAAAAAGATATTTGGTGAATCTTTCAGCATATAAGTTTTATTTTCTCTTTTTCTGAGTAAAAGCTGCCGTTAATTGAGCTGAAAAYATGGAACWAGGAAATATTGAGCTTTGAACAAAATGTTTGCTGATTGGCTAATTCGTTCTGGAKTAGAGAAGYRAYATCCCCATGTGTAYACTCGTATGTTGCAGGGCTATAATTTCTGATTTTATCAGGTGACTCGTACTAGGAGGCTAGTACCAATGTTCTCCCTTATAGCATCAGGCTTGGTTTGTCGCTAGTTTCACTCTCAAGTGTGAGGCGCAGTCACATTCGTAATTCAATGGTTGTCTACAAACTTGCAAGTGACTCGGCAAGAGACAGTGCCTTTCTCCAGTAGTCATATCAACAGTACTCATATAGCATTACAGTTTGGTTTGTAAGCAGAGTATTTCACTGAACCATGGCTGTTTTATTCTTACCATATATTTACATGTGGAATTGGTACTGTATCTGACACCTCCCAAGGTAACTTTCAGCAGAAGGCAAGCTTGCAAATTCTTCACCCAGGATTCATCTATAGTTCCATTCTGCTYACCACTTTGGTGTTTTATGGTCAGGTGTGTGTTGTATTCTTTCCACTTGTTTGTCCATTGTCTGACAACCCTAAGAATAWATTACACTGTAGGTGTCCAGATCAGAATGACGGGATCAAAAWGACTTTGGATTGAAAAGACCRGTTACCTTCAACAGGAACTRCTYACGCATTCTTCAGTTAGGATTTAGATTTGTGTTGATGTTTGTTTAACTTCRACAATGGATATAGTATTCTTGCAGCACAATAATCTTGCCATTCCTGAGCCTGGCATCATTCACAGTATTAAAAAGAATGACGAAACAAGACATCTTTGGTTAGGTGAGTTGTCGTTTAGGCACGATGTTACTGTCCAAAACCCAAAATCATAAACTTGTGATTCAAGGGCATCATCCAGGGGGGGCAAAGGGGGGCTTCAGCCCCCTTCAGCAGAAAATAAATAAATAAAACTGGAGAATTAGATCATTGCTTTTTTATTGTTTTCCATAGTGTTGACCGAAGAAACTGAATTAGCCCCCCCCCCCCCTAAAATTTTGGCCGGATCCTACCTTGTGATTGTGATTGGCTAGTGAATTGTAGACTTTATTTCTTGTGATATAGATGAATAAAAGAGTATTGCTTAGATTCAAATCTATAAATTGCATGACTTCATTATTGGAATGATTGGCTAAATGGATCATTGGTATATCTATTAAGCTGCAGCTACACAAATGATTCTTTGCTTGTGCAGGTGACACACGTTTTTGAAATTAGTTGCGTCTTGAGTGCAAGGAAAAAACAATTAGATTGGAAACACAAGAAAAAAGTCCCCCAAAAAAATTAAACACATTTTAATTTCTTTTGACTTTTTATGCAATTTTTCAGCTGTGTTGTCACCTGTTTAAGTGTGGCTACAAGCTTGCGTGTTGGTAATTTTTAAGAAATTGCTTGTGTAGCAGYGGCTTCAAAGTCAGCTATCCCACATCATAACCTCTTACAGTTTTATAAATTTTATTTTTACAGGATGTTGCAATATGATAGGATTCATTTGCCTSCAAGCTTGAGGTCAAAGATGGTTTTCAATTCTCTGGATCATAAATCTACAAAAATTATTTCCACATCTCCAGATGAAAATACTTAAGATACCAACACATCGTTAATCTAAGCTGTTAAGCCATCGCATAACTCGACTGGTATCTTAAAAGAAGCAGATTTTCAAGTTTATTCTACCCTTACATGTACATGGAAAGTGTACCAATGTACACTATAAATTGGAAAAAAGGATTTAAACTTGGTAACCTATGGTTACTAGAAGTAACTAGAGTAGTAATTTTGATATAAAACAGCTCTTCTCGTTATTGCTAAGTAAGCTTTATTCTGCGTAACTATWTTGTAATTTGTGCTTAAAATTAGAATTTGAACTATTATTTTAATATATGATATTTTCCAAGGGCAGATGGTCCAAACATACTTAATATAAAATTTACTTCAAACCTGTGGCAAAACTAAACTTTTGGATAAAAAAATCAATTGTGCCTCAGTTATGACAGCCCCCATTACCTTTCCCCCSAATTTGCCCTCCTTTTAACAGAAAAGGGTTTGATATTATTTTTCTTCAAGCATAACTGTGCTTGCATGTATGTTGTCAACCATGAAGCAATTATTTTAGATAGATCATTATACATGCAAAGTTTTGATTTATCTACTTTTTTATTTCAAGATCAACTTTTTTGAGTGCAGACAATAAACCCACGAAAAAGTACTTTTTAGCACTAGCTATACCTAGACCCTCTTAGAATATGCACTTGCTTTCTTTCTTATCATAATCTCAGTGGCAAAGCACATGCACTATATCTAGACACCAATTGGCAATTTGTGACATCTTATGCCTTGGCATTGTACCCTAAACCTGAGAGAAAACAGTACTATTTAAATAATTATTAGAAACAAAGCATTTTGTGCTGTAGCAGGGTTTTTTTTCCGTACGAGTCTTTAAATAAATAGACAATTATATATTGGAAGCAAAGCATTTTGTGCTACAGTAATTAGACATAAGACTTTAGGCTCGAGTTTATTTGGCGCATAAATTAACAATTTTACAAGAGGATTTTATGGAACGTCACTCTTAGAATATTACATGAGGAAAAAAGTTACAATTGTGAATTAATTATGTGAAAAAGTAACAAAGTAGCATAGACTTTTTTTTTTACAACATTTATAGTCTTTACTTGAAAACAATACAAAACAATTTCAAAGAAAATGAACGAAAAGAGGAAAAAAAATTTTTTTTTAGACATAGACTTTAAGTAACCACCCTCACTTGTGAAAAATATTTATTTTTGTATGCTTCTTCATGGGTTTACTCTCTGCTCTCCCTTTATTTTCTCTTTCCATTGGTTAACATCTCTGTAAATGTTGTTGTTTCTTGTTCTTTTCTGCTATTTAGTTACCAAAAAGACTCAGAGAAGATCCTGGTCAGGATATCCAAGCTCAGTCCTCAGATCTGAGGGATAAATTGCCTAAGCTCTCAAGAACTATTGCAGGAAATGATAAAACAGGTATGGCAGAACCACTTTATAAAAAAATCCTATTATTACCTTAGCTAATGTTTTCATTCATAAATTTGATATGGTACTTGTTCTGAGTAAAGTTTTAGAAAGTTCTATAACATTACAGAAGGTGACATCGTATGGTTTACTTTAACTTTAACTACTTTACTTTACTTTAGTCTTAATACGGTTAGATATTTCTTAAAGTAATTCTAAACGTGGGYGAGTTTGCATGGGCAAGTTGGCAAACACATGATCGATGATTTCATATGTGGGCGAATTGGCAGGGGCGAGTTGGTCCATGGGCRAATTGACTGGTTACCCATCATATTGGTGTAAGTTTATTAGTGTATTTATTTTGMTAATTTAAAAAGTTTTGGAACAAGGTGTTATAGTCCATTTGGATATCTTGGCTAAGTTATCACAAAGCATTTGGCAAAATAGTTTTCTTTCATGTAGTTTTGCTTTAAGTGTTTTGTGTGTGTGTGTGTGTGTGTGTGAGTGTGACCCTCGACTATAATAATTTTATTAAAATAAGTGTTACTCATTAACTACTACTTGTTAAATTTTTAGGTTCTTTGGTCCTTAAAACCGATCGTTCGGCATCATTAAGTCTCGTTGACCCRTCATATGATGACAACAAAATGTCTGTTGAAATGTTCGACTACTCTCACAAGAGATCGGATACAGACCCTGTAGAAGATGATGGTGATGATCTGCGCACTCTCATAGAAAGACAACGAAAAAATGAAACTCTTTCCAAGAAAGATGATAAACATTCCAAAAAAACTGACTCAACTTTTTTGGATTCCATGATTGGTTACAGCAAAGACCAGTCCAAAAGCAAAACTACAGAAGATTATCGGGATAAGAGAAAAGAAAACAAAGATGGAAAGACCTCCTCTGGAAAAAGTGATCGATACACTAAACATGACGGGAAGAGTAAGAGTAAAAAAGACAAAGACAAATCAATGAGTAGTTTTGAACTTGGTTTTCCATTTTTTTCTGGTGACAGTGGATCTAAGAATGCTAAGAACACTGATAAACCAACAGAAGAAATGGATATCAATGAAACACTGAAGGAACTTGCCTACCTTCGGAGTATCCAGACTGGGGATAACGCACTCCCCAAAGAAGAAGAAGAGTATTTCAGAAAACTAAATGATCTTTCAAAGCCAATTCTTTCCAGTCAATTAGATCAGAATATAACCGGAACTGATGCCGGAAAGCACAGGAAAAAGAGCTTTGAAAAAGCAGAAGGAGGAACAAAGACTTTAGGTGAAAATATGAGCAAGATTGAATCAAAATGGGACAGTGTAATTGATAGCATGGTCAGTACTAAACCAGTGGGAAATACCACCAGCAGTGACGAAATAACATATGGACCGTCTCTACCCCCCAAGAAATCAACTTCGACTTCTAAAAAGGTTAAAGATATTGATTCCCCTGAAAAGAGGTTTAGTAAAGAGAGATCTTCAAGTAAGAGTAAGTCAGATCAACAACTCTCGCCTAAAAGTGAGAGAGGTGTGCGTGGCGGTAGAGGTTTCAGAGGCAGAGGAGTGCGTGGAAGCTTTAGAGGACGTGGTGGAGGTCGAGGGCGAGGTGGCAAAGAATTTTTTCCTGGGATGAGAGGCAGAGGCAGAAGCAGAGGAAGATTYGTTCGTGGCGGCTTTGTACCATCTAGAGGAAGACACATGTTTGCCAAGCAAGGAGGCAGCAGAAGAAGAAGCAGGAGTAGAAGTAGCAGCAGAAGCAGCTCCTCCTCAAGAAGCAGAAGCCGTAGTAGAAGCCGTGGAAGAAGTAGTACTAAACGTAGAAGAAGAAGAAGTAGCAGTAGAAGTAGCTACTCTTCRTCAAGCTATAGCAGCAGAAGTAGAAGTCGCAGCCGAGACAGGGGTAAGGGGAAAAAGCAAACCAAAAAAAGAAGTAGAAGCAGAAGTTACAGCAGTAGGAGCAGAAGTAGGAGCAGAAGTCGTAACAGAAGCCGAAGCTATAGTAGAAGTACGACCCACAGCAAAAGTCGCAAAAGAAGTAAGAGCCGTAGTAGAAGCAAAGAGAGCTATAAGAAACAAAATAAAGGTCGAGCGAGAAGCAGAAGTAGAAGCAAAAGCAGTAGTACAAGTAGAAGCAGGAAGAGAAAAGATCGCAGTCGGAGCTGGAGTTTTGATGAAGATTATACTAAAAAGAAGAATGCAAAAAGCACTCTTAATACGAGTGGAACCAAAACTACTGACAGTAAAACAAGGAGAGAACAGGAGCCAAAAATACAGTCCAAACCCAAAAAAGAGAAAACGGAAATGGTCAAAGCCAAACCTAGTAAAGTATTTGAACCAAAACTGGTGCAAAGCAACCAAGTAAAAGGAAAAACTCCAGTAAAAATTCCTGAAAATGCTCCAGAAAAAGCCTACTATGAAAGGCCTAAAGTAGAAAATTCCAATTCACCTGCTGTCGTCGCACTAAAAGATCTGAAAGTGACAGCTTTCTCTAACGTCTTTCTGCCACGGACGGTTTCTAAAACAGTGGGTGGTGGTGGTGGCATATCAAAAGGTATATCTATAGGYAAGGGGCGTTCGTTACCCCTTAAGAAACACCCAGTGTTTGATAACACAGAAGAAGATTTACAGGWAGAACCAGAAAAGCTTGATCCCAAGGAACTGGAGAGAATGAAAGAGGAGAAGCATAGGTTTGATAAAGAAGTTGATAAAGTTTTTAATGCAAAGGCAGATTCAAAGGATGTGGATAAAAAGAAAGGTGGGTGGAAACGTGTTGGGCCACCTGAAGAAAGTCTTAAGGAAGAGACACAGGAACAGAAGAAAGCAGAATTGGGAGAAACCAAATATGAAGAGATTGAGGAAAAGAAAGCAGTTGAGGATCAAAGAATCGTRGAATCTAAAGAGACCGTGGAGGAAAAGAAAACCGACAAGGAACAAAAGAAGGARAAAAAGGGAAAGAGAAGGAAAGATAAAGAAGAGAGAAATAAGAGAAAGAAGGAGAAGAAAGAGAAGAAGGAAAAGAAGAATAAAGAATCAACTAACCAAGAGAGTTTGGGAAATGAAAATAAGGAGAAAGCATTGGGTGAYGACGGCCAGCCTGTTTTAGACTCCAGTACACCACAGCAGTATAACCAAGAAGGGTATTCAGGATATGATGAAGCAACCCAAGAATACCCTGAAGGAGAGTATCAGTACTATGAAGAAACAGCACAAGAACAAGGCTGGTACGATGAGAATGGAGTCTACCACCCTTATGAAGAARAAGAGTACCTGTACTATTACGATCAAGAAGGAAATATCGTAGGGTATGAAGGACCTGAAGGATATGTTGAGGGAAACCCCTTTGAGGTAGGTTATTGAATATATGGAAAACGTGTGCTTGTTCTGTATGCAGTTATACATGTAAAACACGCAGGAGTTGGCAGAACACTTGAGAAGTGTTAAGAGAAGTATGAGTGCTTCTTGACACTTCTTGAGTGTTCTGCCAATCCCAGACAGCACAGAAAGCAAGTTTTTATATTCCTATTATAAAATACAAATTACAGGAATGACRAAACTGAAAGTGTGTGCGCGTGCTGTGGGCTCTCATAAAGCATGCGTACCCAAACAGAAAATGAATAATCAAGGGAATGTGGTTTATAATGGGTAAATGTTACACCAAAGTTGAAGTGGTCCCATTGCTAGTATTTCCATAGCTATGTGCTTATCGAGACAACCAAGTTGCGTCATGTAAATCGGGCAATTCACTCCAGTCAATCAAAATAAATCATTAGAGTAAATAAAGGTGCATGGCGACTGTGAGAAAGTAAGTAGGAAACTACTCTAACAATTTATTTGATTGACGGCAGTGTATGTCACGATATCTGTGATATGACTGTTGTCACAATCAGCGCGTAGCAATGAAAACAGTGACAAAGAGCTTAGATTTTGTAAAACAAAGGTATAACGTCATCGTCATCATCATCATCATCATCATAATAGYATAGTAAATATAGAAATATAGATTAGCTATAGTGCTTGGGAACGAGGTTATTCCAGGCRAAATAGTAATAGTAATAACTTTATTACTGTCTTGAATACTTACTGTTCATTAAGTTTGTGGTGCATTTTGGAGTACATAACAGACAACTTGTGGTAGTACTTAGAACTGCCACCCACTATTCATTCAACCAATAGGTCTGAAGTGTCCCCCATGTGCGAACAAATAGACACAACACACAATCATCAATAGTTTTTACTGTGTTGATATGACAAGTAATTGAAGTTTATTTCCCTTTGTGGCAAGGAACAACAATATTACTATGAAGGAGAAACACAAGAAGGAGTACATCCAGAAGTGTATGAGCAGGAAGCATATGGAACAGAATATACAGGTGAGTTTACCTTACATCTTGTATAGTACAGAATGAAGCCCAAAACTGACCACTGTTAATGTATTCGCTTTAATATATACTTTCACCTCTGCCTTCATCTAATTGGTATTGCAGGATTGTCTTCTCTTATCTGTCAGTGATCCAAATGCTATTTGGAGGATGGGGAGACAAAAGTATGTGAATACGTTAGCAATGGTCACAGTTTTAAGCTTTACACTGTAAATATTTAAGACGTTAGCCATGAAAATGATTTTTCTACACTGTATTTTAACTTATATTGATTCCAAAGTTTTAGGCTGCCATTTTTTTTACATTGCCTACTCATTAGAGATGTTAGAATACTCTAACTATAGATTTATCTTCTTTTGTATTGTTGAATCATTTTAAGGATGTACCTAAAATTTTAGAATCAACATACCATTATTTAAAGCATGGCCAGTCAACTCTCGTTACAGCAGACACCCTCTGTACCATCACTTGGCTGGTGTCTCTAAAGGCCAGTTTAGACGGTATGATTTTCACCTACAACTATCGTATACAACACACTTGCGTCTGTTGTAGGCAAGTTGTAGACTTGATTTACACGCTATGACTCTAGTTGTAGGATGGCTTGAGCGTGTTGCATACGATAGTTGTAGGCGAAAATCTTGCCGTCTAAACCGGCCTTTATAGGGAGCATCCACAATCATAGCAAGAGTTATTACAGTCATTTCTTTGTCAGTATTTTCCGAGGGGGGTCTTGCTCTTGTCTGCAGTAGTGGGATGTTCTTAATATTGAGGTGTCTGCAGGGCAAGAGTTGACTGTAGTTACCAACATAACATCAATTGATCCTTGAATACTGTGCTGTAGTCAATGTTTTGATGAATTGCTTAATTCACCTTAGGTGATGCAGAAGGAAGCTACCAGTATGGAGCCCCTGATTTCCCAGTAGAAGGTCAAGCCGTTCAACCAGAACAGTACACAGGTGCAGACAGTCAATGGGAACAATATGCTACTGATGCACCAGAACAGCAATGGTACAATGCTGAGGGTGCCTACCCTGTTGAAGAACAGGGATATGCAGAGTACCAATATGCTAAAGGTCAAGAGGGAGCTAATCAATACGCAGGTGCTCTAGAGCAACAGGTTCCCATACAACAAGATGCTAACTACATGGTTCAACAGGGTGGGATACCAGAGACCTATGCTGCTCCGGTTCAAGCTGTAGAGGAACCCAAAACCGAAGGAGACCTCTGTGAAAATGAAATTGTTCTAGCTCTCGGGAAGAACCTTGCTGCCCTGGCAAGACTCAAGGGATGGAATCAGCAGGAACTCTTGGAAAAGGATCCTATAAATCTTGTGCAGATGCTGCAAAAACCTTCAGTGGAAAAATCAGGTGTTGAAGCCCATAGAGAGACACAGCCTCAAGAGGCAAGAGAACAATTTGAGTTAGAAAGACAACTAGAGATTGAAACAAACAGACAAGTTATACCAGAAAGAAAACCAGATAAAGTACCAAGACAACACCCTCAAGAAAGGAATCTAGATGAAGTAAGAATGCCCTATCCCCGAGAAGGGAAACCCGGCATTAATAACAGTAGGGCTAAGCCTGCTGAACAGAAGCCATTAAAATCTATATTGAAAAAAAGGAATAGCAGCTCCTTAAAACCCCCATCTAAAACAGAAACATCTGCCGCAAGTCCCTTCAAAAGTGATCCTAGTGCAGCTACAAGTGACCATGTTGGTCCAGAATATATTGTACGTATTTCAAAATCTGGACCTGAACGTTTCTTCTGTAAGCTTTGCCAGTGCCATATTGAATCACCAATGGCTAAGGAACTTCATGTAAAGAGTATGAAGCATATAGAGCTGTTTGTGCGTGAAAAGTCGTCTCTGCTTAATTCTGTTATTGGAACCAAACAATCAGAAGACACCGCTATGCCTAATGAGATTCCTGAAAGTGGTGATGAATCTGGCTTCTCCCAGCAAGACAAGCTGGCAGAAAAAGGAGAGCCAAGCCCTGATAAAAAAGATTATCCTGAAAGGCGGGACACCCCTGAAGAAGATCCTGTAAGAAACAGATTATTGGATTATGATAGGTTAAGACTGATGGACTGGCATAGACGAGAAGGGAGCGTCAGTTCAGTTGAAAGTGACAAGATAAAGCAGTTCGATCATGGAAGGATAGAGGAACAGGATTTTGAGAGTAGAACTCCAGGGGTGCAAATGAGTGTTGAACAAGAAGGGTATGAGGATAAAATTGAACATTCAAGACGGCCTCGAGAAAGACGAGAAGCAGACTTGAGGAAAGACGAACAAGGTTATGGAAGAGAACGTCAACACTATGCTCCTGAAATTAGAGAGAGAGACTATGAAACGAGGGACTATCATAGAGAAAGACGATCATTGTCACATGACTCAGACCACCGAGACGATAGAGGAAGTGTTGGATCAAGAAGTAGTGATAGGTCTGAAAAGGATTCTAGGCTAGAGCATAAAGTCCCACCCATGGCACACAGAAACAGAATGCAACAAGATGTCAGGCCTTCTGTTCRTGATAGACCAGGAATAAATCAAGGTGAAGGTTCAAACAATCAAAGAGAAAGAGTACGAGGTGGGACACAGAGAGAACAGCCATCAAGGCCAGAACAAGTGTCAGGAAGAGATAGAAGTGATAGGTCAAGACTCAACCAGAATGAGAGAGAAAGGTCTCGTAGGGATGCTAGCGGACAAGGAAGAGGCAGGACAAGTTTTCCTCCTCAGGAGAACAGAGGACAAGCACCACAAGACAGATGGCATGGACAAGCCAGTCGACAAGATACTACTATAACTAAACAGGATTCTGATCAAAAGGTCCAGGAAGTAAGCTCACATCCTACAGGTAGTTCAAGAATGCCATCTTCAGATAGAAAAGAAATGCCAAGAACAGAGAGTACAGGCCTGGGAAGAGAAAGAAGAGCTGAACAGAGTGTGAAACCTAGTGAGAGAGTGAGTGAATCAAGCCCAGTAGTGGAAAGAAACAAGGCTCAACAGAGTCAAAATACAAGTAAAGACAATGATAGTAACAGAAAAACTGCCACAGGTCTTGAGGTTGATAGGGATCCAGGAAGGGTAGGGGTTAAACCATTACCAAGGATTCAAAACCAAAAACTAGCACAAGAAAGGAGAGCTCAAGAATCCCAACAGCAGGTGCCAGGCTCTACTGCTAAGCCAACTTCTGCGTCATTACTAGGAGATGCACCTAGGTCACAGACAGAGGAACAACAACCTCAAGAAGAAGTTAAAAGTATTTCTACGGTCATCCCAGGGCAAAGACGTGTCCCACCACCTCCTCCACCCTACAACAAAGGAAGTGGACCCCAGTCATTTAGAGGACGAGGACGAGGACATCCCCCTCCGCCTCGAGGGAGAGGTGGCCATCATTCACATATGCCACCAAATCAACCAGGAATAATGGGTAGTGATGCTCCCCCACACTCTTTCTCGATGCCACCCCAAGTGACATCACACGAAGTAGGGGCACCCTCAAGTGGTGTGCCTCCCGGAAAGCTCTTTCCTGGTGACCAAAGCATGGGAAATCATCCCACTCCGCCCTTCTACGGTAGAGGTAGAGCAGCTGGCCAGCAACGTGGCAGAGGTGGTAGTCCCCACATGTCAAGAGGAGGGTATGGTGGCCGTCCACAGTTTGCAACCAGAGGAAGGGGTGGTAGAGGCTTCCATGGTCAACGATGGTAATCAAGAGCCACATACTTCTTGCAAACATGTCAATCATTTCCTCCAAAGACAGTGAATTGACAACTTTTAAAACTAGACACCAGTGTATGGGGGCGTAGCATCAAATCCAGGAGTTGCTTGTTTTGTTATTCTAATTTCTACTTTTGTTTACCAACTTTAGAAGTGAGGCTAAGCCCACGTACACTGGAGTTTTAGGAGTCGTTAGTAAAGAATTTTTTTATTTGCATCAACATTTTGATAAATTCTGTTAATAAAAGAAAGCTTGAGAAATGAACAGTAAGTTGGTAGTTTTGAAATCAAAAGATTTAGTTTTACAGAAGATTTATGAAGAATTTCTAAACTCTATCCTCTTACTTGTCATGGTAGTCAAGAGAATCTCTGGTTTGAGCTATGCGACCTATTGTAGAACCGTACGGATAATAAATCTCAATTGTTTGCTGTTCTAAGCTCCAACAACAGCAAAACCATGTTTAGAAATTTAGTTAAAGAATATTTTGTCTTTTTTTATGTTGGTAAAAATTTAGGAGTTGATGCATGTTAAACCCACTCAATACCCTTGGTATATTCAATACGGAAAGTACTAACAAACTATTTTAAGTGCTTAGTGCGTGTCCTTCAGAGCTAGAGGTCCACGATTCAATCCTCAGGATTGGATCTCCACGTCAGTTTTGGGAGTTCTGCATAGCTTTAAATGCACGTAATACGGACCACTCATAGTCCCAGCGCTGATACTCCCAGCACTGATAGTCCTAGCACTGATAGTCTCAGCACACCTTCAAGCACTCTATACGTGAGCCCCTAACTCAGGAGAATTTGGCAACTGCTCCTTGTGTTATCAAAGTAAAGTAAATTACCTTTCTCTTTTCTGAAAATGTGTCCTCAACTTTGGAAGAAATATGGGTTTTTAAAGACCGTACTAAACACCACGGTTGTACATTTGTAGATGGCCAAATAAAGTATATTTTCTTTCTTAAGTTTGTTTGTTTGTTTAATTATTTATTTATTTATATATTCATGAGGGACACCACAACAGCATTTTGCCAATTAAAGTGGGGCCTTTAGTGTTAAGCGCGGGCACTGAAGATGGTCGTCACCAGCGTCTTCAGTGGGTCTTTTACGTCTGCCTTATACAGGGTTATATAGTGAAGACAGACGGGGCCTACAGTTTTAAGTCCTTATCGTTGATACTGTTAGTTGGCTATGCATTCTGGCTTCTAGTTTTCATGTTGAAATCCAACGGACCTTGAACTGTATGTACGTGGTTATATATGTATATATATAATTTTAATATCTTTAAGGATTGGAAAGGTTGATAAAGACGAAACTATTTTCTGTAAAGAAACTAAATTTTTAATGCGTAAAAGATTATTTAGAACCTCGTATCATGAAATTAACTAGTAATGTTTTGGAATCCAAGCAAAGAATTAAATATCAGCACCACCCATTCTGTTTGTAAATATAGGACTGTTATGGTTACATCTCTGGAACATTGTCTACATTGATTTATTCTCCAAGTGCTTGGTTTCGCTTTTTGAAATTGCAATTGCAATTGGTATCATTTTTGAATTGCAAATTTTCAATAGAATTTTCACTGGCTTGCAGCACATGGTTGTTAGTGTTTAACCACCATTTGGAGCAGACTGATGAGATTCGGAGACTTTTTAAGCTCATTGAAACCCAGAAATATTTTACAGGACATTGTAATAATAAAAATAATACTAGATACATTACACAATAAATAGAGGTTATTAGTCAGCTAAGCACCTGATACATTTGTGTATTTTGACAAGTAACGGAATATTTATACAAGTGACAAGTAAAAATGCACAGCCATATCAGATGCATAGCCGACTGATAAGTTGTTTATTATTTAATTCTGCAAAGAAATGCTCAAAATCCCTCTAAATTATATCGTACCCGATCGCACGCAGATTAGAAGTACTGATACAGTCTCATATCAGGCATGGTCTTTTCCCGTATGATGCACGTTCTTTGTAGAATTAAATGATAAAGTATTTGTCTGTGCACAATTTGATGACATACGGTCTCATTTTATATCAAAACCCAATTTATTTATTTTTTTACATATTTTCAAGATTATAAAAATATGGAGGATGTATGTATTTTTGAATAACTATAATATTCACTTTGAGTTCCAAAAACAAGTATAACGATTGTACAATGTTTTTTAAGCTTTGAAGAAGGAAATACTTAAATTCTGATTAAAATGAACAACTCTTACCAAAAATTATTATTTACAATGACAATCTCAACTGCAAGGTGCAGAAAAGAAAACTGCTGAAATATGACATTTCCATCATGGTGTTATTAACTGTGACTACCAAATTCCCTTGCAGACTTTCTTTAGTTCAGTTAAGCCTTTTTTGTTATTGTGAGGAAATACAAAATTGAATGAGAATGAATATTTGCGAAGGATTTTGGTAGTGGGAGTAAAATGACGTCATTATGCGACCATCCTATTGGGTYGTGGATTGATCCCCCTCCCCTAGCAATGCTCAGTATTCGTCTCGTGTATTGGTAGGATTGGTCTCGATTGGTCCATTTGAGTAATTAAATACCAAATACTATCTTTGATCGTCAACTATGACAGCAATCTAGTAGTAAAGATGTAAACATTATCTGCCTAAAAGCAGTAGTCATAGGCACCGTGTCAGGGAGAGGTAATAGAACTTTTCCAAGATGTGCGAGCTCTGGCACACATGCTCAGATTTGAAAACAAGACATTTTTGGGCAAGACTTTATAGCTCAATTCAGATCTTTTCTCTAAGGGTTTTAGAAATCGCCTATAAATCTGTGGTTTCCAAAGTTTTCTTCTGAGCACTGCCCGAAAATGCTTTGTTTTCATGTCTGAAACTGTGACATTTATGAAGCACTCTCAGAAATCTACATCCTAAAGTTTGTTAATACTGTAACAGTTCTTTAACGTTCCCCATTAGTTTTTTGTGTTGCTTTCTTTATCATCTCTAGTCTATCAGCAGCACTAAAGAATTTGTCGAAAAAGATGGTCAACTGTGTTGCCCAGACATTAGTTGACTGGTGATCCAGTTGAGGAGAACTAGGGATTACTTCAGGGCTTGGGCTTGGGTCCTCTTCATCTGCGTCATTCTCTTGAACTGCTCCAAGGCCTGCGCCTGGGCAAGAAAAGGAAAAGGAAATAAGCACTCTTGGGTAGGGTCGAGGGGAATCAGCTTGCATCATAAAACATTGTTTCTCCATAAAAAAATATCAGCCTATGAATAAACTCTAGGGATGTAGGTAGGGACAGCGAAAAGCCCCCCAGGCTAAAAATATGTGACTGTTGAAGTGAAATACCTAGCGATGAAAAAAGATCTCATAGACTTGGAACTGTGCCACATGCTAACCTGGGGTAGTACCCCCCTATATTCGCTATATGGGTACGTACCACCAAACAGAGTATGATTTTCAGTGATTCTACTCTGGAACAGGGAATATAAAATCACGCTCACTCTGGGACAGGGTGTATGAAATCAYGCTCTCTCCTCTCTGGAACAGGGTATCCATTTYGCAATACCGGAATAGGTTATGATTTTCAAGAATCTTGCTCTGGAACGGGGTATGAATTTCAGCAATTTCACTCTGGAACAGGGTCAGGGTTCAGAGGGCTCAGTGGCACATTCCTACCCTAAACAGGCAAGAGTACCCCCAGGCATGCTAAGCTAGTAGCTTATAGCTTAATGTATTGTGGCCCTTCCTTTCTCGCTTTGTAACCGTTTTGCATTCATATGTATTTTATCATTATATTTTAATGTAATAGATAAAATAAAGACATTCAACTAAAATATAAAATGGTGTTATTTTATGAAGACAATAGAGTGACTTGACTTGACCTGTGAAACAAAGTTGACTAACAGTCAAAAAAGTGAAGAAAAAAAAGGGATTGGGGTCCACTACTACTAACCCTTGCTATTTTTTCATGGGCCAAGTAAAATCACTCTACAAATTGTACAGTTTTTTCTCATTAAAAAAGGTCCTTATGAAATCTACTGTTCTCTTTGAGTCAGCCTACTTTTCTTATTTTCATCTTCTTTATTTGATCTTTCGCTCAGAGGAAAGAGAGCTGAGCAAAACCATTTTAGAGGCAGCTCTACCACCCCCAAACCCCATACCCCCAAAAATCCTGGGTCCTCACCTTAGTACAGCTATCCTGACCCAAATAAACATAAACAATTCTATATACCCATGCTAAAAAGGCTTACCAACTGTCTCAGATTCTGCCGTAGCAGTTTTACTGGCCGACTGTTGCATGTTGGCTGTGGAGTGCTGTGATGCAGTGCGCTTTGCTTCTTCTTGAGAGCCAGGCTGCTGAGAGGCATCAGGGGTCTTGCCTGTAACCATAATCAATAGCCTCTTTTAGCTTGGGCATAATGTTTACCATGTCAGACAACATGTCATTCCCTTGAATATTATTTCTTTGTTTAACAGATGTACATGAGAAGACACATGAATATGGATACAACTCAAACAAAGAATATTATACTCGAGAGAATGACATCTGTTCTGAAATGACAAAATATTAAATCCAAGCTAAAAAAATCTATAACAAAATATAAACCCATTCAAACTTTGACAATGTCTCTTTTTATAGACCCCTTGCATGTGACGTCAAAGCAGCTCAATTTAGAGGACAAAACAAAAGAATTTCAATCTCCTGAGAATTGGAAACCTATTGTTATATCCTCCAAATAGACCCCTTGTATGTGACGTCAAAGCAGCTCAATTTAGGAGACAAAACAAAAGAATTTCAATCTCCTGAGAATTGGAAACCTATTGTTATCTCCTCCAAATAGACCTCTTACATGTGRCGTCAAAGGAGCTCAATTTGGGGACAAAACAAAAGAATTTCAATCTCCTGAGAATTGAAAACCTATTATGACTATTTTGGGGTCTATTTAGGATACAATTCTTTGTTGGAATCTCATATAAAACATAATATTCAAGGAAATAATAATAAAAAAAATAAAATAATACTCAAGGAAGTGACGCCTGGTTTACAAGACCAAGAAAAAATAGTGTTTAAAATCACAGGGAGGGACTCCTATACATATAGCTGGCAGGGATGCTTGTCGGAAATTTTGAAAATTACCCCTAAAAGGTCCCTGCAGTCCACATTGGTGTGGCAACAGCTGATGGTGAACTGAAAATGAATATCCTGTCGACAGCTGCCATTCTGGCAGTCATAAATAAGATCTCAAGTTTCTTTTTACCTGACCAACGCTCTAAGAAGTACCAGCTCACTCTCTGGTGGTCCTTTTAGATTCGTGACATTCTAAGAGGTACCAAAGTGCAGATCTGGAACCTGACAACCATCCCCGGCCCCTTCCCATCGGAGTCCCCAACCCCCCCCTGGTTTAAATTGTTCTTCAACATTTCTCTGCAAGAGGGCTGTATACATTATTACATGCCAAGATTTTAAACCTGTGTTTACTTGCACTAGCCCTTTAAAAAAATAATGCTCATTTGTGAGATAAACAAATAAGTATAATCTTTGAATAATCTTTTTGAAATTGTTCCATATCTAAATCCAGTAAAAAAAAACAAACCTTCTTTAGCAAGTCCTTCACGGGTTTTAATTACAGATTCTCTGGTTGCTGGCTTCTGTTCAGGTGAGTCTGTCAATCCAGGATGAGATAATCTGACAGGAGACTCGTTTGCCACTGGGCTGCCATTCACAGATTCCACTACATTTTCTTCATCTAAAAAAGAATGGAAGAATAAGAACCCCCTAATAGACCTCCTCGGCTCTGACGTAATGTTTTCCCATTTCAGACCACATGTCATTCCCTAGAGTATCATTTCTTTGTGCTCGGTTGCACATGAAGACACATGAAATGGATACAGCTCAAACAAAGAATCTTATTCTCAAGGGAATGACATGTGGTCTGAAATGGGAAAACATTACCCCAAGCCGAAGAGGTCTATTGGGACCTGAAAGCTGGGATTTTTTCATAGACTTATATCAGCCCATAGGTTCCTTGTTTCAGGGTATCAATATAATGAGGTGATTCTYGAGGTATGGATGTCAAAGGTAAGTTAGGTTAGACTAAGGCCCCCACCCCACCCTTCACATCCCCCTTGGTAGAGGCATTACCTTCCTCAGGAGATTCTCCCGGTTTAGATGTCAMTGGAGAAAAGCATTCTGCGCTTCTAGATCTAATAGATGCTGCGTCAGGACTCAGCTTGGCACTATGAGAACTCATGATCATTCTATCACTCACGTACACCAAGGCACAATCGATAAGGCCTTCAAAAAACTCCAAGAATGTTATCTCTAGTTCAAGGTTACAAAAATCAGCTTGAGCAAGATGTGGGTTGTCCCAGGACAAGATTTCGATCACTTCTTTTGGAGTAAGGGCATTGTTAAACAGCTTAAACYCATTCAACATGAAGAGAAATTGTCTAGCTTTGAATGCTGGCTCATACGGAGCAAGTTTATTGGGGACGCATAAACTGTTAAAGATGTCCCAGGATTTTTCTATGTACTTGGTGGCTTCTTCGGCTTTGGTTGCACTGGGGAATAAACTTCCCTGTACATTGCATGCATTGTCTAGGATATTCTGCGACATTATTTTTGAGGTGCATTCAGCAAAAACTGCCCCTTTCTTGTGAGTCTGCCCATGGAAGACATGGTAGCCAATCGTAATGATAGCATTGATAAAGTCTCTGAGGAGTACTTTGTGTTGGGGCTCATGGATGTCAGGAGTTCTCTCATTGGTGCTAACAAAACGATCCATTTCTACTAGTGTCACCCCATGATGATGTATCTTGCAGTCCTTCAGGAACCTCCAGAATTGCATTCGGGTCATAGCAAATGTATTATCTGTGGAGTACTCTTGTCCGAGGCCACTATAGAAGGAGTATATCTGCTTCAGCTTGCTCATATGTCTGAGTATTACATGTGTAACACCCTGTAGTTCTTCCTGGCGTTCATCAAGGTACATCTCAAGGTCATCAAAAAGGTGATCTATCTTGATACTCAGAGGGTTGTTGATGCCGAGAGTGGAGCTGTCGGTGGGGATGAAGGGCGTGGCACTCCTCAGTGGGGTCAGAGGGGGGCGCATTGGAATACCAGAGTTAGCAATATCTGGMGTGGTCATGCCAGAGGGATTAAACTCGGGGAAGTCTATCATGTGGTCTTGTTCAAAGTTCCCTGGGGAAAACAAAACATTTCAAGTTAGTCTTAAAATCAAGGACTTGGACAATCATTACTAGACACTAATGGTTTTTTCTTCATCTTAAATTGACCACTAGATATGGACTATCAAATTTTGTTTTGATGTTTAAATAGGATTAAACAAACCTTCGAAGAGATGACCATTTTTAAATATGTACATCCCCTTGCCGTGCTTCATATTGTTCATCCATTCTCCAATATACTTTGCACCTGATGCGTACGTGAACGTACCATACCCTTGCCGCAGCCCATTGCACCAGTCACCTACATAATAATTCCTTAGTGGATATTGAGATCCAGGAATCCTTTTCAGATACCATGAGTGCTCTCCGTGTCCATGCTGCATACCATACTCCCATTGACCTTTGTAAGTCTGTAGTTGCTCCCTATCAGTCCAGTGCATGACTCCGTCACCATGCCGTTGATTATCCCTCCAGTCTCCGTTATATTCATTACCAGACGCATATCTTCGTATGCCATGCCCATGTCTGTTGTTGTTGAACCAATGACCATCGTACTCAGATTTTCCCTCCTCATCATATCTCAAATGCCCTCTACCATGCCTCTTTCCATGATTCCATTCTCCTGTGTAGACACTTGGTAGACACCCACAGTAAAATGTTCCTTGTCCATGTCTAAGTCCATTAAAGACCTCCCCTTCATATACACTATTATCTAGCCACGTATATTTTCCATTGCCCTCTATCCTATTCTCTTTGAACTCTCCTTCATAGATGATCCCATTACTCCAGACATACTTTCCCAGGCCACTCATCTTGCCATTCACAAAAGACCCAGAATAAACGTGTCCTCCCTTGAAATACGCTGTTCCTACACCATGAAAAAACCCTCTTTCGTCTTTCTCTCCCTCGTAATTCTCCACAATCAAGTTGGTTAAAATAGGTTCGTTCCTCATCACATCGTGAGACGCCATCTTGACTTTCGCCTTGCAAACGGCATCTTCATTTTCAGCACTTTTTTCCGTCGTATTCTCATCTTTCTCTAAATTTTCACCTTCCTCGTTGACTCTTTCATCTACCTTAGGAACATCTGAGACCGGTTCGGGCATTTTTATAAACCAAAATAAGGATAAAACACCTAAAAATCCTGAAAATTCATAACAAAACTAAACCTCTTTTTTTGACGGTTGCCTTGGTGATACGAGAGATTTGTTTACTACTAGTAATATCCCGGATTTTATCCGACGTTTATTGGTTCGATCTTCGTGTATCCTTCGTTTCGATGCCGTAAATGATTCGGTCATCCGGATAAATGCCGATGAAGTTTACACCGCAGACCTCCGCAGGCGCGCACACAGATCAGATGTTCTCGAATACACACTACAAGATGGCGGGGAGTTAGAATTTACTAAAATTAGGTTCAAAAAAACTTCAAAATGCGGCCGAAATCGGTTTGCTGTCAGTGCTCCTGGTTCGTATCAGACGGCGTAGGTATCGGATGTGCCATCTTTACCTACCTTCTCGTAGCATATGCCGAAATTGTGGTTGTTTTTGTGATGTTGCTGCCTGAAATTCCGTTAGCCGGTATGGGCCTCGTTCATGCTGTAGTATTCACCTATTTATCGATATTAGCTGTTGTAGCACACGTCAGGGCAATGCTTACAGACCCGGTAAGTTCTTTATTTACTCTTCTATCTATTTTCTCAGCTATCTTATCTTCAACTCTCAAAATAACGCTAATTTTCCTTTTTAAATCCGAATTGCTCTGACAAGAGATAATGTAAAAACTCTCGTATTCCTTAGAAAGTGAATTCAAAAAATTCATAAATGAATCAAATTTATTATCTTCTCTCCTAAATTGGTTTATGAAAACCTTGAGAAACCCCTATATCTCTAAAGCAAAGCTGTTAAATAGTGATTTTTTGAGTAAGAGAAATTGTTTGAATGATAAATTAAACAACAAAGAGGAAGTAGTTCCACCCCAATCTTTCTTATCGGTCATTAAGATAGAATCCTCATTTTTTACTTACAGATTAAAATCAAACATGTAATTCAAGATCATTGCCTATTTTGATGTTTTTTAATTTTATGTTAACTCTCTTCAGATAGTTGTAGCAGATGTTTCTCTTTAAGTTTTTCTGTTTTTGTTTTATTTTGCCTTTCATTGTTGTCTCATAAATCATGCTAAAATTTTTAAAATACATCTTTTAAAAATTGCTTTCCCTAAGGCTTTCAGAAGATGATGAATAACAGGGTCAGGAGGTCCAAATGTGTTATTTTCTCACAGAAATGGGAAAGAATGAAAAATAATGATTCTGCTCATAAATTGTGAAACTCATTTCTTTGGCTGTTTTTTTTCAGATGGAAATACTAAAACAGTTTAATGTGTGATGTTTTTATCTCTGCTTTGAAATGAAATGCTTTTTTTACTTATTTTTATTTCGTGTATGTAATGAAAAATGAATAAAATTGTACTTTTTTTTATTTCATTTTTTTTCAATTAAATTTAATTTTCACTCATTAAGAGTATTAGGTTATGCGTTTGTCATCATAGAAATGGGTTGTATTTGGTGTAATGAATGATAATTCAGATAAACAGTAAGAGAAATATACAATATGCCCACTGCACTCAAACCGAGTTATCGTCATCCTAGTTCAATGTGTAAACCAATTAATGGTTTTCACAGCGGCCATGTTGGAGGAACTTAACAAAAGAATTGTCAATGAATTCTTTTGTTATATCCTCCAACATGGCCGACGTGTCTTTTGTTATTTAATTCTCTTGGGAATGGTTGAAAGCCATCAATATGCTACAAGGAGAAACCAATCAGTTGGTCATTGTAGTCTTGCTGTGTTGAATTGTAAGGCTTTGTGTTAACCAAAGCTACATTGTTTTTTTATTTTACAAAGGAAACTTCAAACCCCTCAATAATTTCAAAGCACAATAGATAAATTAATTTGAAAAAATGAAACAATATTCTAAACATGCAAATGAGCAAGCCTCAAACTGTGTCATTTTCTCATTTCAATGTCAACTTTGCCTCTTTAATTTCAAATTATTTGTTAGCTTTTTAGTTTTAGTCTTGTTTCCTGAAGGTGATTATTCAAACAAAGACCTTTTTAGCCTGCACATAATGTTTCCCATTTCAGACCATGTGGCACCCCTATTAATTGCATTTATCATTCTCTAACGGTAAATACTCTATGTCAATATAAGTCATACTCAAACAAGAATCTTATTCACAAGGAAATAATCTGCGTCTGAATTAAATGAGTCAATTGAAATAATTTTTTAGGGCCTGCAATTGGTTTAAACATTATTTGTTCTGATAAAGATTAATGGATCATTTAATAACAAACTTTCATTAGAAGATTTTATTGATATTAGAAGATCCTGTTTGTAAAAGAAATTATGATTTGTAGGAAGAAAATATAGACTTCATATATTTATTATTAAGATTAGTTTGTAGATTTTACTTTTTAGGTTTTCATTTGATTTTAAGATCATGATAAGAGTAGAGTTTTGAGGGACATATCAAAACTTGTATGTGTAAGGGTTTGAGCCCAAGCAAGTCATTGAGCCAAACATATTGATTTAAACAAATTGATTGTTAATGCAACGTCTACATAAGCTTAATGAAAAAATCTATTTAGCTTTTGCTGTTATATTACAGCATTTGACAATCACAGCAGAGGAAGGCTCCAAACTGGGCTAAAGCCTAAGGATGGAATCAAAATTTTAGAGTTGATTTTTGAGGAGGGAGGAAAATCGGAGAACCTGGAGAAAAATCCTTGAGAGAACCAACAAACAACTTTACTCACATACAATACCAAGCCAGACAAGACTCTAACACAATTCACATTGGTGAGAGGCGGTGCATTACCCTTATACATCTGTTTATATATATGCACAAAAGGGTCAAAGTTTATGCAAATGGCAGTGTATATATGCACAATATACAATATATACAGTACGAGTGGCCCTGTTGTAYCCGATATAGAAACTCGAGGCATAGCCGAGAGTTTGTATATTGGATACAACACAGACACGAATACTGTAGATTACTTATCAAACGTCTAGGTTAGTTCCTTTGTGTTTCGCTAAAATTTTCAAGATAAAAGTGAATCTGGCCAGGAAAATCCATCTTAAAGTTTATGCAAATGAACAGGATTCTGTATCTGATTTACAGAACTCTTCACGGTCGTGATTTCTGTTTTGTTTTCCTCATGAATCATTAATGAGTTTAATAAGTAATATATATATTATATCTACAATGTACATAAACTTTGACTCTTTTGTACATATATACAAGTATATCAAAAGTRTATCAGAAATTATGGGATATGATCCCTGATATTTTTTCAAGTTGCTATCACTAGGGCTTTCTGGAAAAAATATCAGGGAGGATATCCCATAATTTTTGATATAATTTTGATATACACTTGTATATTATGGCATATTATGCAAATGGCAGTCCATATATATATATATATATATATATATCTGCAATGTACATAAACTTTGACCCTTTTGTGCTGCCTTTGTAATTACATCTGCAAATGGTTAGACCTTCATGTGGCTCAGATGATCACGTTAATGGCGGTCCCATCTCTAATTAACTAGAGACGTTAAAGAGGACCACGAGTTTATCAGTCGAATTACTGTCAAGTGTTATCCTCTATAAACAAAGTTAATTATTATTATTATTATATATACAARCATATCAAAGGTATCCTTGATATTGTTTTCAAGTTGTCTATCACTAGGGTTTTTGACAAAATATCAGGGATGACACATCACAATCTTTGATATACTTGCATATATATAAAAAGAGTCAAAGTTTATGCAAACGGCAGTGTATATATGTATATATACTGTAAGCTCTTAAATAATCTGCATATTGTTTTATATATAATAGGGAACGATACCCCTAGGTAACTGTACTTCAGAAAATATCAAGAAGCTACGACTAGCTGAAGGGCAGACAATACTACGGTGTACTCGATGTGAATGTATTAAATTAGAGAGAGCTCATCACTGCAGGTAAGACTTGAGATTTTCAGCTTTATCAGTCTATCCATTAATCCCTTTGTCAATTTGTCATCTTAACAATGATATAAATCTTTTATGCTCCTTTCCAACTTCATGGTTGTTTTTTATTCACCATTGTTTATTTCTATTTCTGTTTCAGTACATGCCAGAGATGTATAAGGTAACAGTGGGCATTTGAAAACATTTCATTTTTTATATTCCTGTTTTTCTTTTTCTTTCCTTCCTTCCTTCCTTCCTTCCTTC